TATATCTCATAAAGGTCATTTCACAAAATCCATTCCACTTCAGGTTCTTCTGTAAGAAGCCCCGACAGTGTCTATCTGATGCTCACATTCATCAACTCTAAAGTGAGAATTTAGAAAAACTTGGTTGGTTGTAAAATGAGATCAAGATAAAGCCTTAAAAATGGTTGAAGTCCAGCCGGTGTGACTCTGTGGTTGAGTGCCGACCTAGGAACCAGGAGGTCACATGCCTGGGTTGCAGACTCAATCCCCAGGAGGGGGCACGCAGGAGGCAATTGATCAATGATTCCCTCTCATCATTGATGTTTCTATCTTTCTCTCCCTCTCCCTTCCTCTCTGAAATCAATAAGAATATATTTTAAGTGATTTTTTTAAAAACCACAAATGTTAGTTACAAATAGTTCTCATAAATATAAAATAATAAAGAGTATAACGCGTCATCAGGAATAGGGTCACCTCCAAGTTTACCATGACTACATTGTCTAGGATGCGTTAGGGGAGGAGCTGGTGTTGGTGAACGAACCTTATGGAAAGTTCGACTGAACAGTCAGCAGCTAAGAGCCAGCGGGGTGCGTGAGGGCCTGGGTGCGTGAGGTGGCAGAGCGGAGCGGAGAGGGGCGAGAGCTGACGAGGAACCTGAGCCCTGCGCTTGCAGGGCAAGAAGAGCTATGACGAAGCCGGTGTCAGAGACGCAGCTGGCAGGGCTCTTACCGCGAGACCGCGCTCTGCTGAGGGGGCCCTCCCCTGGGTGCCTGGCGGTCACACCATCGGTGTCCTGGGGCGGCTGTAACAGAGCACACAGATGGGGGCGCTTAAAGCAGCAGCGTTATGCTCTCGCGGCCTGGAGGCCAGGAGCCGGAATTAAGGTGTCCGCAGGGCACGCTCTCTCCGAGGCGCAAGGCCCTCCTAGCTCTTCCCGCTCTGGTGGCTGCCGGTGATCTCAACACCCCTTGGCTTGTGGACGCATCACTCCAGTCCCTGCCTCCGTCATCACGTGGCCTCCTTTCCCGTGTCCCTGTGTCTCCACACGCCCTCCCTCTCTGCGGTCTGTGTCCGAAGTTCCCGCCTCTTACGATACACCCACTGAATAAACGTACAGGAGGCCAAGGGGGACGGGAGGAAAGATGTTTCTGATGCCTGCACAGCTGGCTATCACCTCCGCTTACAGCCACGGGGCCATGCGGACGCTCTGGACAGAGACCGGCCCGGCCCGCAGGCATTTAGCTGCTGCCGGCGCAGAGTTACAGAACCTGGCCTGCGGTGTGGTCTGTTCCACCCGGCCCTCCCAGGCTGCGTCGAGGATCCAGAGAAAGACCTGCCAGCCCCGTCCCTCTCCGAAGGGCTGGCCCCCATGTCCCTATGCCCCACATTAGGATTCAGTTCGCCGACGAGTCTAAATCCAAGAGGCCGAGGCTGCAGCAAGAGCCCTTGAATCTAATTAGAGTCTCGGCAGCTACAGAGCAGGTGCTGCTCCTGGGACGAGTTCCCCTGAGCCATGTCCTCCTCTCGCCTCGGTGGTCAGTACGGCTCGCCTTCATCCTCGTTTACTTGTGCTTTCCTCTGTGGGTCTTCAGCTCCAGATCTGGTTTGCCCGAGGCAGGCGCCCCCCTGGGAGGCAGTGCCAAATACCCATTTGGGCCCAGATCCCCCCAAGAAACACTGAAGGCAGCTCACCAACCCAGCAACCCCGGCGGATGCCCGCAGCAAGCAAGCAGCACGGACGCAGCCCCCTGCCAGCGCTGTGTGCAAATGATAAGCCAGGAGTCTGTCTTCCCATCGAGTTCTTAGTGCCCAGAGAGGATGAAATGGGCTGGAATTTCACAGCTAAGTCCGGGCAGAGTTTTTCTATTTTAAAATGTGCTGGTGCTGTTTTCCTACAGATGTCAATGGCTCAGAATCTGTGTCGATTTCTCTCGTTTTATTTTATTTCATTATCGATGTCAATAAAGCCTTCTGTTTACAGCTTGCAAAGAGCTTCCCCGACAGCAGGGCCACCCTGATTTTGCAGACGAGACCGGCAGCTACTGATCGAAACCAAACCCCCAAAACCTCGGCTCTCATCTTCCCTCAGTGCCGTCTGGCCGACGCCGCCTCCCCCCAAAGCTGATGAATGGGAACTGTGGTGAAAGCACACGGAAGCCCATTTACTGGAATCACTTTGGGAAAGTGGCCAGAATCGTGGAAGGAGAGGAATCTTTGCATCGAAGGCTAGGAAAACGATCCAAGGAGAATGCCTCACCCTCCCCAAGGGGGTCTGGCGAGAGAATGCCCCGGTGACGACGTCTGTTGCTTCTTCCAAACCGAATTAGCAGACTCACAGTCTGGGCCCTGGAGGGTGCTGGGCGTGGACTGCCATGAACCCTGCATTTACACACAGTTCCCCACCCTCTGCCAGAGTCCCGGCTCCCGGGAGAGGTGGAGCCTTAAAAGAGGTGATTAAGGTAAACTGAGGCCAGCAGGCTGGGCCCTCGTCCAATCTGCCCCGTGTCCTTACAGGAAAGGTGAACACGCAGAGACGAACACCAGGGAGGCGCACGCACCGAGGAAGGGCCGCCTGAGGACCCGGCGAGAAGGTGGCCGTCTGCAAGGCAAGGAGAGAGGCCTCAGAAAAGCCCGGCTGCCTACACCCTGACCTTGCACTTCGGCCTCCGGAACGGCGAAGGGATAGATGTCTGTTGTGGGCGCCACCCAGGTGAGGGGTTCTGTTTGGAGGGCCCTAGCACACTGGTCCCCTTGCTGACTCAGGGCATCTGCGCTTCCATAGCCATGGGTGTCCAGCTGCCACAGGGATGGGTTCCTGTCATCTCGGCCTCACAGGGTCGACGTTGAGGATCCATGGGAGTCAGGGACACCGGAGCCCTTCGTCAGACACACAGCACAGGAGAGTGTGTTGCCCGTGGGCGCCACATCCAAGGCTGGGGCGGGGGAAGCTGGGCTCGGACCCTCACCAAGTGCTTGTCTCTGGCTTGAAATGAGCCCTAATGCCAGTGCGGGTCTTCCAGGGGTTAATTTGTATTAAAACCTTAAACACCAATGTTGCCTTGGGCTCCACAATCTCCCCTCTGGGAGACGCATAGACAATAAAACTAACATCGTGGAAAACGGTGTTCATCCCGGAGCCGCTGTGGTAGCAACAGGGAACTGGTGACAGAGCCACCACAGGACAGAATAACTGGCGTCTATTAGAAACCGCGCGGGAGAAAACATTTTATCAGCATGGAACGACGATCATAATATATTGCTGCCGGAAGAAAACCACCTGATAACAGAGCCAACTATGGAAAACACTTCTGTAAGGCGCTCCGGTACCTCTCTAACATTACACAGAAGACACAGAAAACGCACCAACAAGCTAACAATGGACAGGGCTTAGGAATCCGGGGTGTGTTTTTCTTGAGCTTTTCTAGATTATTCTATTTTTCTGCATTGGACAAAGAAAATCATAACCATTATTACTTTGTTTAAAAAAGTAATAACCATTATTTTATTTTTAAATACCAATCTTTTAAAGCTGTTTTTATTAATACATATTTTATTGATTTCAGAGAGGGAGAGAGAGATAGAAACATCAATGATGAGAGGGAATCACTGACTGGCTGCCTCTTGCGCACCCCTATTGGGGATCAAGCCCGCAAACAAGGCATGTGCCCTGACTGGGAATCGAATCATGACCTCCTGGTTCATAGGTCGACGTTCAACCACGGAGCCACACCAGCCAGGCAATAACCATTATTTTAAAATAAATAAATAAATGGCACCTAGAGTCCAGAAAATAAAGTTTTTTGGGGGTTCAATGAACTGTGACTTGTGCGGTCCTGCTAAGGAAAAACCCTATTAGTGACCCTCATGCAGGGACAGGACGCCCTCCACCTCTGCTGGGGACATTTGAAACAGGTGGCAGCATCTTGCCTACCAGTTGCCTGAGAAAGAACCCCCCCCGCCCCAGGCCTGGTGATGGGGGTGGACAAGTGCAGCTGCACTCAGAGAGGCCCTGAGGACAGGGAGAAGAGAAGCCCTCCCTCTGGGCGGAGGGAGTCCTCCCGCTGGGAGAAGGGAAGTCTCCCACTGGGCGGAGGGAGTCCTCCCTCTGGGCAGAGGGAAGTCCTCCCGCTGGGAGAAGGGAAGTCTCCCACTGGGCGGAGGGAGTCCTCCCTCTGGGCAGAGGGAAGTCCTCCCGCTGGGCGGAGGGAGTCCTCCCACTGGGCAGAGGGAAGTCTGGAGGAGAGCATCCGACTGTCCACTGGGCCTGGAAGGAGATGCCCGAGTGTGCCCTCCACTGACTCCGGGGCAGAGGCTGGCATTTGTCTGGATGGTCACTCCTGACAGCAAACGTGTGGCATAACTTTCTTATGTCAACTCGATGGACCTAATGTTCGCGTCCCCCTCAAACCCAGATGTCGAAACCCTAATCCCATGTGATCGTGTTTGGAGGGGCCCTGGGAAGGTCATTAGGTCCTGAGGTGGGAGCCTCCTGGGGCCCCGGGGGAGAGGCCAGAGCGCCGGCTCCCCCCTTGCTCCGCGCGAGGACACAGTGGAGAAGTCAGCGGTCAGCGGCTGGATGAGGGTCTCACCAGACTGACCGCGCCGGCCCTGGTCTCAGAGCTCGGCCTCCGGGACCGTGGGAAATGGGTCTCTGTGGCTCACAAGCCACCAGCCTTGTGGTCCTTTGTTACCGCAGCCCGAACCAAGACATCAACCAATTCTCCAACCCCAGGAGGTGTCCAGCAAGTCAGTCCACTCTTACTGTGTCTGCATGTCCGACACACGCTGAAGCGCTCAGTGCCCAAGGCTGCCTCCCTTCAGACCCCAGCGGCCATCCTGGGCCCCCCATACTCCTGACTGATTGGATCTAAATCAAAGGTTTCCACGACTCCCTCCTCGTGTTTGACAGTTTGCTAGAACGGCTCCCAGAAGTCGGGAAGGCGCTCCACTTACTATCATCAGCTTAGAAAGGACACGCTCGGCAAGAGTCCCATGAAAGAGGCGCACAGGGCAAGGTCTGGGGGAGCCACCCCCCAGCACCTCCATTAGTTCACCCAGAAGCTCCCCAAACCCTGTCATTTAGGCGTGACCAATTAGTAACTCCATCTCCCTCCCCTCTCCCCGTCCCAGAGGTTGGGGTGGGAATCAAAGTTCCAACCTTCTGATCACGGGTGGTCCTTCTGGTGAACAGCCGCCGTCCTAGAGTGATGTAGGGGCCGCCCAGAGCCACCTCATCAGAACAAAAGACGTCCCAGCACTCGGGGATTCCAAGGGACTCAGGAGCTCTGTGCCGGGAGCTGGGACATAGAGTAGGGGGCGTACCTATTATGCCAGTCAGGGGACAGGGAGGAACCACAGGGGAGCACGGGTTCAGGATGTCGGGGAAGGGGTACGGAATGAGCACAGAAAGTGGGACCTGTGACCGAAGGGCAGGCACTGCGGCTCTCGCTCTCGGGAAGCTGGTGAGAAAGGACTGCACACCGAGGCCTCAACTTGCAGCCGATCAGCTGCTGCTCGCATGGGTAAATTTTCTAGTACACTCCAGGGGAGCTGAGTGGGAATTTATCCGGGTAAATGTGGTGACTGATTCTCCCAAGCAATTCTGAGAAAGCCAGCTGGTTTAATCCTGTATAATAAAAAACTAATATGCAAATCAACCGAACAGTGGAAGGACCAGTGGAAAGACCTGATGCTATGACGTGCACTGACCACCAGGGGGAAGATGCTCAACACAGGAGCTGCCACCAGCCCGCAGGCCCCAGGCCAGCCAAGGCAGGTGCCAGCGAGGGGGCTCCCCATTGCCCCCTGGTCACTCCACAGAGGGAGGAGACGAGTGGGGGGGACCAACGAGCAGGCGGTGCCAGGCCAGCCAAGGCCGATGCCAGTAGGGGCCCCCAATCGCCCTGCTGGTCACCCCACAGATGGGCCCTGATCGCCGGCCAGGCCTAGGTACCCTATCCATGCATGAATTTCATGCACCGGGCCTCTAATTTATAATAAAATCTTAATTTACTCATGATAGGAGGCATATCCTATGAAAATTTTGGTGTAATTAGCTATCCACATGGAAGGAAACAAAATTGAATGTCTACCTCGGACTATACACACATAGAAAAAATCCTAACCAATTCCATGTTCACACATATATATTTGCATACATAACAGTGATATGAAACACACATGGTGTATTTATACGTTTGGGGTGGCAGGGCTTCTCTATAACACACAAACCCAGAAGCCAAAATGCAAAGGCTCACATATTTGATCGCATAAAAGTTTTCATTTCTTTTAGTGTAAGAGACATCCTCATTACAGTTAAAAGATAAATGGCAGATGGGAGAAAATATTTGTAGCATATTTGTTCATTCCTTATTTAACAAATATTTAGCGAGTACCTATTGTGTCCCAGGCACAATGCTATGTGCTCATAACATCACTTTTAAATTTTCACAAATTTGCATTTTCACTTAAAATTTTAATATTATCTGTTACTAAGTAAAGGGTTCATATTTAAAATACATAAACTGATATACCTAAAATAGAACTTTGAAAGTAAACAACAAAATAAGTACAAGTAAAACAACAAAAATTAAAAATAAAGGCACACACACTAAAAAGACATAACTGAAATATGTTAGGATTCGTTTTATCTGCATGTAAGAAGTAAAAAAGCAGTGACTTTAACACAGCAAAAGTACATTTCTCTCCCACACAAGAAGGTGTGGATGAAGGCACCCAGAAGTGGTACAACAGTTCCATTGTCAACAGGGACCCAGCATCCTTCCTTCTTTCGGTTCTACTATTCCAGTACTTGGTGCCATCCTCAGGGCAGCCTCATGTTCCAACAGGGCTGCCACAGCTCCAGCCATCCACTCTACACTCCCCGCAGCACAAAGAGGAAAGGGGGGCAGAACAAAATGTGCTCCCTTCTTGCCAGGTTGACTCCCTTCCTGCAGTCTTTCTACCCTGCCGACACCTCATGGCCACATCCTGCTGCAAGAGAGGCTGTAATAGAGACTTTTCATCAGCTGCATTTTCACCACAAACACAGCAGGGGTCTGCCACTAAAAGAGGATGGACATATTAATACTGGACGGCAACGAGAACCTCTGCCACACGAGGTAAACACTACCCACCAAAAGCTGGCCTGTCAGTATTCAAATAGGAATTCATGGCAGAAAGCATTTCTCGGCCTACAGAAAAGAATGTGGAACACAGTGACAAAGGGGACTATTGTCAGTTCCCACACCTAGCAATAAAACTGCAATATGCACAGAGCAAAACCTGGCTCATTGGTAATGAGCACGGACGGAGACCTGACACTCACCTATCAGGAACCAGCAGATCAGGCAGATAAAAAATGTTGTCATAATTAATAATGTCTGAACAACACAGGTCACAGGCTTAATCTACTTTATATATTTGGGCCCAACAAACCATATTGATTATTTTCAAGCACTTGTCAAACACAGATAAATCGGACTATTTATGAGGTCGCCAAGGATATCTTGAGAAATGCTGAGGAATCTGTCTGAGTCCAATGCAGTTCAACTCGAGAGCCACTGTTTAAAAACAAATTCTTCTAATCTCACTCACTTA